TTATTTATGAACGCCTGATTTCTTCTTGTTTGTCGAGAGAGTAACGTCATCGCCAATAAGTGTAAAAGGCGCCCAGTATCTTACATTGCTGAACTTCTCTGATTCTTTAAGACATTTCATTGCATGGTTAAGGGACTCGCTCGCACTTCGCCCTTTAACAAGGTTGTGGTAGAAGCTTTTCATGAACTCGAACGTGGCCTCGTCATCGATGGCCCAAAGCGAAACCACAAGAGAACGAGCACCAGCAGCCATAAAGGCACGTGCAATACCGACCACGCCTTCAGCTTTGATCTCTCCTCGACCACTGTGACAGCAACTAAGGACTACTAGCTTGGCTCGCAGCTTAACACTCATCACGTCGGTCATTGTCAAAATGTAATCTTCTTCTGGAGGGATCTTTGATCTTCTTTCAGGATTTGGGCTCAACGCTATTTCTCCAGTTTCCATGTGTCCATGTGCAGCAATGTGTACTACGGCAACCGAACAAATCTGTTTCAGCACTTCACATTTGGTTGCCAATTTTCCAGTGAGAGGAGCGGTATTAAGAATCTGCCCAATCATCTGTGCTTCTTGTCTGGCAAAAGGAAGCTGCTCCAGGATCTGATCTCCTTGGATGTTGGTAACTTCACTCATGTCTGGATCTCCCACAATTAGAGCTCCACTACTGCAGTGATACTCTGCGCAATGAACAATAATTTTCAAACTTGTCAGGGAGGGGATTATTCTGACTTTGAATGATTCACACAGGTATTTGGAAGAAGGATTCAGTAATGCAGCAAACGAAGCTAGCCATAATGGACCATCTGGGACAATTATTAATTCATCGCCATCAATTAGATCTAATATCGGGGCAATCACATAGCTGTACAAGGCTGACAAGGGATGATTATCTTCTTGGACAATGGGCTGTGAGCTCTTTTTGTGTGACCGCTCCACAGCAGAGCAGTTTTCGCGTAACACATCTAAAGACCGATTTTCGCAGTTAGAATTAGCACGAACACCAATGTTTTCGTAGGCAAATTGAATTAAGGACTGTAATGTTTCAGCTGGTAACTTTAATCAATGACCGCCAAGTGTCTTCCATCGTTGAAGAATAGGTTTCCCTTTTGAAAGTAACCAGATATTTACTTTGTTTTCAAGCACGTTTACAGCTAAGAATATGGTGCTTGATGAAGTGCGGTTTAACATGCCAAACTCCTGTTCCTCTAGAGGTTTTCCTCTGTATTGACATTCTTGCAAACTATATTGAGAAATCATTAGATCAGCTAGTGACTGGGCCCGACTTTCTTCGGCAGCAATCAGAGCTTGACCAATCTTTTCTTGTTCTAACAGACATCTCCACAAACGTATGTAAAAAATGTTACATTCGTTGCGAAAACCAATCTTCCATTGATCTTCAGACTGGAGAAGCCCTCTTATTTCATTAAACACTTTAACGCTTGATTGGTAGTTTTCGCTTGCTGTAGGCAGACTTCTCTTTAGTTCACAGCATTGGCCAAGACCATCGTAAGCAAGACCTACATGGCGTTTATTTCCAAGCTCTTCAAAAATCCTAAGCTGTTTTTTGTAAAATTCTTCAGCTTTTTCACAATTTCCAAAATGCAGAAAAACTCCACCTAAACCGGCACAGGCATACCCTGTCCTAGCCTTGTCTCCCAAATCTTCAGCAATACGGAGGCAACGGTTGTAATAATTCTTGCTTTCGGGTAGTTCTTGAACATTTCACAAATTTCTCCGAGATGAAGATACGCACCTCCTTCCCCAGCCTTATCGCCCAGATCTTTAACAATGCTAAGGTGCTGCTCGTGGTGGTGGAGGGCTTTCTTGAAGTTTTTAAGGCTGAAATAAGCGCTGCCAAGATTTGCATTTGCAACTGCCTCACCAACTTTGTCTCCAGCTGTTTTAGCAATACCAAGTTGTTGGCCATGGTAACCAACGGCCTTTTCGAAATCTCCGAGACTGTAAAAAGCATTGCCAAGACCACCATACGCCTCACTTTGTGCGACCACGTCTCCGACATCTTTTGCAATATCAAGGTATCTGTTATGATATTCTATGGACTTCTTGAAGTCACCAAGGTTGTGAAAAATATAGCCAAGAGTGCTGTATGTTCTTCCCATCTCAATTTTGTTTTCTACATCTGTTGCATAGTCAAGACTTAGTTTAAGGTACCTGATCGCGGTTTTAGTATGTCCAAGAGCTTGGGAAGCATTTCCTAGTCCTCCATATGCAATGGCTATTTTTTCGTTGTTTTCCAGATATTTGGCATTGCTCAGGGCACGTTTGTAATAATCCAGGGACTTTTTGAAATCACCAAGGCGTAACCGAGCCTCACCAAGACCTGCATACGCGTTTCCTTCCTCAAGCTTGTCACCTAAGCTTTTAGCAACGCTAAGAAGTAGGTTGTAGTAGAGCACAGCATTTTTATAATCGCTAAGACTGGTATAAGCACGAGCAAGACAGCTATAGGTTATTTCCTCCAAAACCTTTTCTCCCATTTCTTTGACAACACCAAGAGCAAGGTTGAGGTTCTCTACGGCTCTCTTGAAATCAGCTGGACGTTTAAAAGCAGTGCCCGAACTTAAGGAAGCCTCGGCTTCAAAGAACTTATTGTAGATCCATAATAACCGCTTCATTTTTAAGGGCGTCTTGTCAAACTTGTCAATCTTAGGATAGTCAAGACATGTAACAAGGTTTTAAGTTGTAAGACGGATGACTTTGCTGAAGGAAATTTAACAATTTAATTTGGAGTTTGAAGCTTTCCAGGGGAAATAATTAATAACAAAAAAGGTGTAGTAGAAAATGGTCCAGTTAATTGCCGAGCAACATTAATTACACTGCTCTTACTAAGATGTGATTAAGGATTTAGTTGTTATAATTGTTTGATTTTGGCTGCTTTTCTTATAGATGCAGGCTTTATTCCTATTAGCGGAGGAAAATCAGGCTTAACATTTGATACTGTCAGTAGTATACTAGGGTCAAAGATAAGCCTCGTTGGTGCGTTCCCTTTGCGTTCCGTGTGCGTTCCCTTAATTAATATGTATAAGGGTCGAGTCTATGACGTCACCCATTGTTTTATCCTAGAGAAAAAAGTGCCTTCCTCCATACTAATGAAGTGCCTAGTCAATGCCTTCCTCCATATTAATTTAAGTGCCTAGTCAGTGTCTTCCTGCATACTAATTCGGTATAGGTTTACTAGTGAACGTCACTCTACTACAAAAGAAACAATAGGCTTGCCTAGACTTGCCCGGTAAGTAACTTGAGCTCGGTTTTCGGACCGTCTATTAAAAGGAAAATAAGAGCGATCACCTAGCAACGCGAGAAACGGCTTCCTATATCTCATTTAGCGCTAAAACTCAGATATACATAAACAAAACACATACAGAAAGTGGAGTTGAAAAGTCTTTATTTCAATTTA